CACACACACACACACACACACACACACACACACACACACACACACACACACACAACACACACACACACACACACACACACACACACACACACACACACACACACACACACACACACACACACACACACACACACACACACACACACACACACACACACACACACACACACACACACACACACACACACACACACACAGACATGTTCGGATCTCGTCGAGCTGAGTCGAATGGTATATGACACTCGGCCCTCCGGGCCTCGGATCGATAGTCGGTTTGTCAAGTGATATCTATACCCTTCTTTGTAAGAAGGGTAAAACGTCATGTTTGCTGGGATCTCAGTAAAATTTAATACAGAGCACTAGGCTGTGCAAAGCTCGGCAAAAAATTGCCGAGCAGGCGAAAACAAAAATAATAAAAATTGAGATCGTAGATTTTCAATGTCGCTAAAACAATTCATAGGCTATATCAAAGTTCTCCAGTATTCATTATGAATGTGAAATAATCTAGGCGTTAATGGGTTAAGCAAGCTTTTTGAGGAATTATTAGTATTAAAAAAATATTTGTTTACATCAAAACAAGTTTCTTGAGTTATACACATTGCTTAGACATGGATTGATAGCTCTTCCAAAAAAGTGATAATGAAGGGCTGAGGACTAAAATTAAAATCTGTTCGATTTCGTTCGACTTGTCTTGGAAGCTCTCGAGACAAAATCTTATTTTTTGTGTCTGTTTACATTTACTCTACAGACAAACAGAATCTGATGTAAATCCTTATGTATTCCTAATCTACCTATAGTTGCAGTTTCTAGTAACCAATGGATTCCACTATTAAAGGAACCAAAGTTAGCAACTACCGCCATCGTCCGCTTCTATAGGAACAGTGTTCCGATTTGGAGAATTGCCAAGTGGTGTAGAGTACTTGGCACTGATGAAGTCTGCAAGTAGTAGACGAAATACGCGTATCTGTCAAAAGATAAGCAATTATAACGGAATTTAAAGGAAATAAACCAACCCACTCAAAGCTCTTCATTGGAGGTAATAAAGATAAATCAATCAATCAATCAAAGCTCTTCATATTTTTTTGAGTTGCTCCAGCACTATTCCTAAATTATATATTTTTCAGAATTTCTTGAAAAACAAAACTATATCCAGCAATTCTTCGTCTCACGACTCGGGCATGTTTTGAAAAATCCGTAGAAGTTTAAAAATTGTAAAATGAATACACACTGGAATCTTCTTTTAAAATCATAGTTCAATTAATAGTCATACTACCGAGCCTGCAAACTCCGTGGATAATAAAGAAATCAATCAATCAATCAAACTCCGTGGCGCTGCTGTGAACAAGCTCGCTTCTCGGCAACAGGACAGGCATGCCGTGTCACAGCTTCCCCACGGCGTTTGCAGACTCGGTAGTATGAATGTCAATTGAAATGCTACCAATAGATCTGTATCATACTTGGCATTATGTTGGCCACTGAATTACAAGATAGTTTTAAAATCAGTGTGCGGGCGAAGCATCACAAGAAATCACCGAATAAACACATTAACCAGATGTTTCATCCTACATATCTTCTACACAACAATCCAACAGCCAGTTCTAAATTGAACCGGTCGGTAAACATTAAACTGCACAACAATGTGTCATGCCTTGTGAGCCACGTTTTCCACTGCAACAAAGTCAAGTCGATCCCAGAACTAAGAAAAAAAATAAAACCTAACAATATGCAATGGCATCGATAGAAACCGAATGTATATCTCCCCATTTCGTCATACCCCTTCCTGATGTTTAGAAACCATCTTAGATCCACACCACCACACCCACAGGTAGGTAGGCAAACGCGGGTTGCCGAGAGGGAAAGAAAATGTTGTTCTATTTTTGCACACTCGTTGCTTCATTTCAATGCCAATTCCGTCACTTTTCCACCATTCCCACCATCGCGAATTATTTCGGAACTAAAATTTCTCTTCTGCCGCGGCGCTCACCTGCTGCTTATTGCTTGAAACGTGCACCACTGGCGGTTGCCATAGCATTCCCCTCGCCCTGCGACCACTTAGACCACAGGTGGAGATGTTTACTAACTAATTAAAGCAAAATCAAACCCGTTTACTATGCCAACTGTCACGGTGGCCATCATCATCGGTCGCCGTCGTGAATTCGCGTGATAGTTATTAATTTCTTTTAATTGCAATCTAGACCACTGATTGCAGTCAACGCCATCGAGAGCAACAATTCTTGCTTCTACGACGAGCCGGGGAGGGGGGGTGGGAGCAAGAAAATGGAAGAAAATATCGTACGATGCAACTCCACCTCTCTGCTGCTGCTCAGTCGCCGCTGCTCGATCCACGCGGCTTCTCAGTCATAGACAATACCCAGCGATTGGTGTTATTCTGCATTCTGTGATTACAACAAGTAGGCAGTAGTCGTCACCATTCGCCGGTTGTTGAGGTCAATTTCTGTACACACATGGGACATGGCTGGCGGCCCCTTGGAAGACTCACCTCGTATCGGGAACGGTTTGGTTTGGATGGTTTCCGTCGTCGGCGGAAGCATCTTCTTGGTATCCTCGGACATCACACTGGGACAAAGCTGAATTTCACTTAAAGCACCACCGTCGTTAAATTTTCCACTTTGGCTCGATGTGCGCACTCGCAGCGACCGGGACGCTGATGATTGTGCCAATGCACCGCCACTGCCACTGCCGCCACCGGCCATGGTTACCGCTTGACCGGTCGTAGCCACCAAACTGTTACCCACGATTACATCCATCTCGAACGGCTGACAAACGCGAACTGAACCGAACGACTGGTGGTTGGTGAGCATTCATCGCACAGCTGAGCTGGTTTGGCGTTTCTGATGATAGGTAGGTAGGTAGTTGCAGAAGAGCGTAGGACTCGCCTGGCTGCTATCAGATTGCGGATCCTCTCGTTTCTCGTTGAGCTTGCACGAGGTGGACAAATGTCGAGTACTTTTCCAAAAGATCCTAAGTAACAAATGTAAACAAATCGAATTAATCGTTGCAAACTGTTGCTCTTTTGTCATTGAATGTGGTACAAAACACCCATTTAAATTTACTATAATTTATTGAAGATAATCATGGGTAAGCAATTATCCAATCCAGGGTACAGTTTAGAATGATGGGTGCTTGATTGTTCCTTAGGACGTTTTGTCTGTCTAGCATGATGATTGGTGCTTATTTTCTAAATTCGGGGCATGGAAAACCAATTTAAGATTGTAAGTAAGGGACCAGTCACTTTTCCGGTGTTAGGTGTTTAATTCTGAAAACTGCGAAAGGGAATCTAGTATCATGTAGAACACGTCCAATTTGACACTCATTAATTGTCATTGGTTCGTTTGAAAGAATACTCGAGGAATCATGCAGAACGAAGAGATAGAGAGAAACCTTGTTCTCTCGCTAGAGCGAGAGAAATATGTAAAAAAAAGAGAGAAGAGAGAGCGTCCGTAGCAGGGTTGGAGAAATTCTGAATTTATCTGCACAAACGTTTTTCACGTTCAAATACTCCTGTGAATAACGTTCTTGAAGCGTTTCCAAGATTCGTCGGTAGTGTATGCATATTTGTACTAAAGTGTTCTTCAGGCATGAAAAATCATTTGCATTCATTTCGTGCAATCATTTACATTCATTTGCCTCTAACTTTTTTCTTCAACAGCATTCTGCAAAATTATGTATAGAGCTTTTGTAGGTTTTGTTATTAGCTACAACTTTTGTTAACAAGTCAAATCCGTATCTCTTATGCATGACGAACCAGAGCGAACAGAAGCCACTACTGTTTTTCAGTGAATGTATTTTACATTCACTGAAAAACAGCAAAAAGTTCTGCCCGCTCTAGTTCGTGATGCATAAGAGATACAGATTTGAGTTATGAGCAAAAGTTTTAGCAAATAACAACACCTACAAAAGCTCAATACATCATTTTACGGAATGCTGTTGATGAAAAAAGTTAGAGGCAAATGAATGTAAATGAATGTATGAAATGAATGCAAGTGATTTTCCATGCCTGGTGTTTTTTTTATCATAAGTCTTTCGAATATGCCTCACTTACTTTGAAATTTTATTATTCGAAACATTGAAATTATTTCATACTCAAGTATTGAAACTTTCCTCTAAGTATGTTTTTCTAAAACCTGGACCTGGAAATTACTTTCCGTATTACCTGATTATTAGTACGGAAAATAAATACAATACAATTTAATTATTATTCACCGGAGACGAACCAAGGGTCGGCTGAAAGTCTCCTTAATAAAGATAACTAACTAACTAACTAATAATTATTATTGTGCAATGCTGGAGGGGGCATTAAGCCTGGTCGCCAGTGTAATTTTGGTAACCAATTGTACACCTTCCATGCAGCAATCAAATAGACAAAGATGAGATGGCTCTTAGATAATGACTTATGCGAGTCGATTTAAATCAGCCGAATATTAAATAAGGGTTATCCTTAACATAGAAGCTAGATGCATAGGTGAAGGATAAGAGAAAGGAGAGACAACCCTAATAAACAAATATCATAAACGAACAATAACCCAAATTATCGTACATTTCCACAAATGGTTTGGATGATACCCCTTACACGTCGTTAAGCAAAATAACCATTACAAATTTATTAAAGAAAGGTATTGTAAAAAATACATATTGAAATACAATACAACTTATTGAACTGAAAAAGGATCTCAAGATTCTGTGACATGATTTTTTTCTCGGTGTTTGTACAAATACTAAAACTACCAGGTGTCATTTTTTTTTCTTCAAATTTCTGACCTTTGAAAAAATGTCAAGAGCTTAAACATTTTCCTATATCATTTTTTGACATTCTAGGCCAATAAAAAAAATTAAAGATCTCGAAGTAAAAAAGCTAGAATATTGCGTCTAGCACTTTTTTCGAAACCTCTGACAATTTGTGATAGGTCTATGATTATTAGAGTGGGTCATCGTTATATGGAAAAACGCAAACTTTACCTCATCAATCGAGAACAACCCTTTTTTGGTTCCATTTGGAGACCCAAACAACTGTGCAAAATTTGGGAACGATTGGTTGTAACTCGGCTTTCCGCATTGCGTTTGAAATTTGTATGGAAATTAGTATGGGAAAACCAACTTTTTTGGATTGTTATCCCTAAAGAACACAATTTAGCATGAACAATGCAACTAAGTATGTACAAATATAGTCGAGGAAGTGCCTAACAGCTTTGCCAAAGGAAGTACGGTGTATTTAAAAAAGTTATAACTATTCAAATATTTATGGTTTGAATTAAACACCAAAAATCCCTTTTTCTGCCAACACTGCCGGTGTACCAATGGGAGTCAGATTCCAAACTGAAATAATTTCGGAGTTTCTTATCTTACTGATTTGGTATATTAAGATGAATTATTCAAAAATAATAGCTCTATCTCATATGTGTAGTTGGAGAGGGGGGGTAATATCAATTGTTTCAAACGGAAATAACTTCGGAGTTTCTTATCTTATCGATTTGGTATGTTCAGGTTGAATTATTGAAAAACATTTGCTCAATCTCATAAGCGTAGTTAGAGAGCGGAAGGGGGGGGGGCTTATTATATGCAGTTTTTAAAACAAAAATTGTTTATTTATTTTCATCAACCGATGTAGAACTAGTACACAGTGGCGTCCCGTAACCTCACTTTTTACCTGTGCACTAACTTTCAAAACCAGATTTAATGCCATATTCATGCTCGAATCGGTTGAAAAATACACTTAATCTTCTAGTTTAATCGATATCTATCCATTGCAAGCAATATTTTGATAATTGTTTATGTTTTGAGAGTTGGTACACAGGAAGATTGAGGTTAAGGAAACGCCACTGCTAGTACAAATACATATACAAATTTGTTTTTCTTAAGAATATATAAAAAAATATTATCTGCTATTCTATATTTACTTGTTACGAGCTATGATTTCGTATGGAGTTAAAATATTGTTTTAGTTTATGCCGAGACATTGAAAAGTCAATGGTTTCGCAGTTGATTGTAAGACGCCATCACGTTGTAGTGTAAATATTTAATATCCACTTGTCCGTTCATTTGTTTAGTGAGGAGATGTTGTTTGAATTATTAGCAGTTGTAAAATTTTAAATTTCTTTATAAAGCTTTTATTTGAAATATTAAACCGCATATAGAAAACACAGAAGTAGTCGTACATCAAAAATAAAAATAAAAAACAGGAGAAAACGAAAACTGTCTTCACCAGTTTCGTCTCAGACACAGGAACAGTTGGATTTCGCTTGTTGGGCTATCTTTAAGTGAGCTACGTTTCAGTTGGGCTCCAAAGTCAAACGTCATTTCTAACAGTGCTGATTCCTTTTCGGCTTCATGCAAAAACCGGCAAACGAGTGGAGAAATGATACCGATTATGTTAATGCGATACAACGAGTTGCTTCACCGAGACCTAGTTCAACAGCAATAATTGCTTCAGGTGATAAAACAGCATTGAAAAAAGTACCCTGAGAAATCGTAGAATATATTAAAATGAAATATAATCATTACAATCCAATGACATTTGTGTGAATATATCTGACGTTGTACATTGCACCAAAGAGTAAGGAAGGGACTGGGGGCAGGCTTCCAAATAGTACAGCCTTCTCGCGACAGTTGGTTTATACCTGAATTGACTGTTGCTTTGTGTGCTTTACTGCCGCTTGCTACCGTACCGTAATTCGAAGTGTATTGGCAACAGCGCACGCACGAACGAATGAAAGCTGTATTAGAAAAGTCGCATCTATACCCGCTTTGCTAAAATCATCGTGCTTGGAACGTAGTGAACCGAATGGGCTGTATTTATACATTTCTTTATGACCAGGTTCTCAATGTTTCTGTCGTCATAACAGCCTTCACAAACCGACGACATCCCTCAGCTTACCCAAGTGGCGTCACGAAAAGGCTGTCACGAGACATTATATACAATTGATATACGGCAGTGGAGTATGGGAGAAACCCAGAAGAATGATCCCGAACAGATATGTCAGCCCGATGTCGGATCAATGTAAGGTCAATTTATGGTCGACGTCGGCCAAATGTCGGGTCAATTTTGTGTTTATGTCGGGTCAATGTCGGGTCAACATCGGGTTGAGGTTTGGTAGAAGTCAGGTTGGTGTCGGGTAGGCTTATATTTTTCGCTGGAGACCGCGCGTTTTTAAAAAAAATATCGGATGAAAATTTTGCAATGGGCAGCACGAACGTGATAGCAACCGAACGAGCTCCGGCGCCACACTGGTAGTGTAGTAGCAGCCTTACGACATACAAACAAAATTTCAAAGACAGCAGCAACGAATCGGCAGTTCGACGGACTGCTTGTTGTATGTACGAGGAACGTTACGAATGACCATCCGAGGCTGTCATAGCCGAACGAACAAAATACATGACTAAGAACGAGCTGTCGTGTACTGCACAAGACGGCAACGTTGCATGTCGTATAACAGCCTCACTGTGGGCTGTCGCTTATAGCTCAATCTCAAGGCTGTCGTAGGGAAAAGAAAGCGACAGCCGTTGGAATACTGTCATGAGGCAGTACTTTTGGTATGCCTGACTGGGGGTACTCGCTTTACAACTACTCTTATGAGATTGAGCAAATGGTTTTGAATAACCCATCCGAACAACTCGAGAGATGGGAAACTCCGAAGTTATTTTAGTCTTTATCTTTACTTTCATTGGTATAAGTGAGCGGCGGAAAGGATATAGTAAGCCCCCCCCCCCCCCCATATATAACTACGCCTATTAAATGGAGTTCATGTTTTTGAACACACTTGAAAAGATCAGAAACACCGGATTTAT